GTCTCTGCGGATTTGCCTGTTCTGGGTATCTCTCTCCTTTTCAAATGTTTTATCTTATTTTGTGTTAAAGGCTTAAATCATCCACATCAGTGGGGTGCGGTGTGGTACCTCACCAGGTGCACGGGGCGCGCGCTGACTCACCCAGGCCCCTCTTCCACGCTCCCTTTTCCCGTCCACCCTCTTGCTATAATTGCTCTTGTACTCTTAGGTCGGCTTGTTTTCCTTTTTCGTTTTAGTGTCCACCAGGAGAGCCAGCTGCAGTGTTTGCCTTCTGTGCCTGGCTTGGTTCACTTAACACCATGTGCTCCAGTTCTATCCAACTGGCTGCGAATGGTAGGGTCTTGTTTTCCTTTAGGACTGAATAATATTTCACCGTGGATCTGTCCATCTGGTGATGGACACTAGGCTGATTCCACATCCGAGCCACTGTGAATAGTGCTGCGATCCACACGGGTATGCGGGGGTCTTTTGGGCACTCTCACTTTAGGTGCATTCTTGAGCGGGGTTGCAGGATCACATGGAACTTCTATTTTTTAGTTTTTGGAGGAATCTCCCCACTTTTCTCCACAGTGGGTGTGCTAATTCACATTCCCATCAACAGTGTATCAGAGTTCCTTATTTGCCACATCTTCACGAGCATTTTTAATTTTTTGTTCTTTTTGTTTTTCTATAATAACTATTTTAACTGAGATTAGGTCATATCTCATTGTAGGGGTTTTGTTTGTTTTATTTTGTTCTTGATACGGGAGATTGAACCCAGGGGTGCTTATCACTGAGCTGCATCCCCAGCCCTTTCTATTTATTTATTTATTTGTTTTTGAGACAGGGCTAAGTTACTGAGGATGGCCTTGAACTTGTGATCCTCCTGCTTCAGCCTCCCATCACTGTAGCTTTGATTTGCACTTCGAAGCTATTCTGGAGGCTGGAGCAAGAGGATTACAAGTTCAAGGCCAGCCTCAGCAATTTAGTGTCATCCTGTCTCAAAATAATAAAAAGGGCTGGCATGTAGCTCAGTTATGGAGCGCACCTGCATTCAATCCCAGTACCCCCCGCCCCCAACACACACACACATGGTTTGGCTGCTCAGAGTCCTTTGTGCTTCTGTATTAACTTTAGGATTGTTTTTTCTATTTCAGTGAAGAATATCATTGGTATTTTGATGGGAATTGCATTGAGCCTGTAGACTGTTTTGGGTCTCCATAGGGACATTTTAACCATATTAATGCTTCCAATCCATGAACATGGGATATCTTCCCTCTACACCACGTTGAAGTTTCCTTAAGCTGCTTTGGCTGTAATTAATGACTTTGAACACAGTGCATACAGAGGCACAGTCAAAGAGACCCACTGTCTCTGGGAGCCACAAAGGGATGGGGACACTCTAGAGGCTCAGGAAGGGGTGGTGCAGACAGCAGTGGGTGTGTGAGGCTCACTGTGTGGCCACTCCTGCAGAGGGAATGGGGTCCCCTGTCAGGTGTTGCACTGAGGAGACAGAGCTATGCTCTTGAAAGGCCCTCTGACTCTGGCAGGTAGCACTGGTAAGGGGCCTGAAGCACTGACCTCCAGCCAGACAGTGCTGTGTGCTCAGGCACTGCACAGGGGGAGAGGACCCCTGGAACTGTGGCTGGCACACCTTCCCTGACTGCAGCACTCGCCCAGATATGGCCCAGGGGTGGGGTGGCAGTGGGAACCCAGTACGCAGGGGTAGGGTGGCCACTGGAGCTGTGGCCCTCCTCCCACCCCTGTAGCAGTGCACTCCCAGGCATGGCCTGTGGCGGGAGGTGGGGGCAGCAGTGACCCCAGGGGCACTTGGCATGGCTGTTGTATCCTGACCCCAGGGGGCAAGCTCCTAGTGTTCTGGACGTCACTGTGCCGTGCCAGCCCATCCCCTGCAGTGAACGGTGCCGAGTGGGCTTCGGGGCTGGGGCCACAGTTTCCCTCTGGGTCCCTGAGGCTGCAGCCCCTACCCAGTGCAGGGCAATGTCCATGGTGTCCCAGAGATAAGGATCTGCAGGACTCTCTGATGCTAGAACAGCCCGGACTCAGACCAAATCTCCCTCCTCAAATGGACACCCTGCTGCAGCAGCCTGGGAGACCATGTGCATCCCTCCACAAGCAAAGCTCATGGGCACCGCCTGGGTCACTCCCTAACTGGGCTGCAAGCCTGTGAAGGCTGTGGAACTTTCCAGTAGCCAGGATTACCTGCTTCCATGCTGATAGTTTGTGGGACACCACCATTTCCCCCTGCGAGGGGGGGTCCTTTCTCCCCTGGATGGTGCTACTGAGCACTTTGTGCCTCTTTTGGTTGCAGTAGCCCGGGGGCTTCTGAGTCTCAGAAGGTTCTGTTCTCTCTGCAGCCAGTTCCCATGTTTTGTCACGGTCCGGTCACCTCCAAATCAATAAACTGCTACCTGGTTCTTCTTGGTGAAGGAGGAAGCAAGGGCTGAGAACCTCTATCCCACGTCATCCTGAAACCCCTCTGTTCTGGACATTTCTATACATAGAATCTTGCCAGGTGGCCTTTGTTTCCCTCCACATCAGGGGTTCGGGGCTCGTCCACGGCCCTGCGCAGGTGCTGCTGTTCCTCCACTCCTCCACTGGGGGGCGCTTGGGTCCTTTCGGCCTCTTGGCAGCGGGGACAGCGCCGCGGGGAGCGGCTGTGCAGGGGCTTGTATGAGACCTGGGCACATCTCTAGGAGAGGAATTTCTGGGTCACTGTGATATGGCCACTGGCCACCGAGGAGGGAGGGAGCGGACTCACTGGGTGGGAGGCACCACTGCCCGGACCAGGTTGCGGACCAGGTGGAAAGGGGAACGAGCAGGGGCGTGATGGAATCGTTCGTGGAGGACTGTCACTGACGTGGGGACGTGGGTGCATCTGGATTCCCAGGGAACATAAGAGTCTAGCTTCAGGTCACTGGGGCCAGAAGCAGGAACCCCCCCGATGGAGCCCCGAGAAGTTTCTTTTTCAGGGGTGGGAGGGTGTCTGGGCAGGGGAGGCGTGGCCAGAGGGAGGGACAGCACAGGCGGCTCCAGGCTGATGCGAGCACGGCAGCGGTGGTCCTTGGCCTCGGTAGCTGATGGCCCCTGTGACTGGCTGAGCCGAGAAGGAGACATGGTGGTGGAGGGCAGGGAGGGGCTCCTGCCTTGGCCTGAGGGTGCAAGTCCCCCAGGACGGTGGACAGATCTCCAAGAGGCTGTGAGCTGGCCAGAGAAGATGGGAAGGGAAGCCGCGCACAGAAATCCTGCGGGGGAGGAATTTCAGGATCAGGAGCATCTTGGAATGCACTAGAGAGTAGCAAGGAATTGTTTAATAAAAATGTCTCTGGGCCAGGAGCGGTGGCATCTGTGATCCCAGCTTCTCAGGAGTCTAAAGCAGGAGGATTGCAAGTTCAAGACCATCAACGTGGACCCTGTCTTGAAAACTTTATGCCATCTGCTGGGCGTGGTGACTATGGCTGTAATGCCAGCGGCTGGGAGGCTGAGGCAGGAGGATCACAAGGTTGAGGCAGGTCTCAGCAACTTAGTGAAACCCTCAGTAGTTTAACGAGATACTATCAATAAATAAAATATTTTTAAAGGGCTGTGGGGTGCTGGGGTTGTGGCTCAGTGGAAGAGTGCTTGCCTAGCACATGTGAGGCACTGGGTTCAATCCTCAGCACTTCATAAAAATGATTAAATAAAAGTATTGTGTCCAAATACAACTAAAAATATTTAAAACAAAAAGTTCTGGGGATGTGGCTCTGTGGTTAAGCGCCCCTGGGTTCAATGCCTGATACAAAAACAACAAAAAACCTTTCTATACCATCAACTCACAATTTCTAGGAATCTAAACTAAACTGCTCTATCAAAATAACACCTATTAATAAAAAACGATTGGTAGAGAACCAGGAGAGAGAGCCAGCAGTCAGAGAGTCCCCTGCAGGGACTCATGGTCACTCTGGCACTCAGAGGACACGTGCCCAACATGAGGGGTGTCACGGGGCCACAGGGGTGAAGGTTCCTGACCACAAGTCTGGCTGTTCCCAGACTGGACGCCAGGCATGGCGGTGCCGCGGGACATTGCAGCCGCCTATCTGCTGCAGGGGAGTTTCTACGGCCACTCCATCTACGCCACGCTGTACATGGACACCTGGCGCAAGGACTCGGTGGTCATGCTTATCCACCACGTGGTCACCTTGGTCCTCATCGTCTCCTCGTATGCCTTCCGGTGAGTACAGGGTGGACAGGCTGGCAGAGGGGACAAGAGGGGGCAGAGCTGGGAGCCAGCTCAGACCAAGGTGCAGAGGCTGATGCCACCATGGGGGACCTGTAGGAAGGCCTTGGAGGAAGGACAGGTCAGAGGTGGGGGCAAACTGTCAGGAGTATGCCCAGAGAGACTGAGATTCTGGAAGGATGGGGTGAAACTGGCCCAGAGAGCCACCTTGTCACACAACCAGTGTCCCTGGATCTCTACCGGGATGGTACCCTTGGCTGAGTCACAGCAAGGGTTTCTTGGAGGCACGTCTGTGATCACAGTAGACACATCCTGACATTCTAGAATCCAACAACTGTGGCAGCTGGGCACAGTGGCCCACACCTGTGATCCCTGGGTCTAGGGAGGGAGGCTAAGGCAGGAGGATTTGCAAGTTCAAGGCCAGCATTAGCAACTTACCAAGGCCCTAAGAAGCTTAATGAGATTCTGTCTCAAAAAATAAAAAGGGCTGGGGATGTGGCTCAGTGGTTAAGCACCCCGGGTTCAGTCCCCAGGACCAGAAAGAAAAAAGCTTCACATACAAAAAGGAATGTGAGAAATATCTGTCCATCTTTTTAAAATTTTTTTTTTTTGCAGTTGTAGATGGACAGCATGCCTTTATTTTATTTGTTTATTTTTATGTGGTGCTAAGGGTCGAACCCAGTCCCTCACACATGCAAGGCAAGCGCTCTGCCACTGAGCCCCAGCCCCAGCCCTATCTGTCCGTCTTTTTGTTATCTTGGATTACATATTGAGATGCTTTGGATATACTGAATCAGTCCCCCCCCCCATATACACACACATACATACACACATACATATATATGTGCAATTTATATGTAAATTTCATATATATATATATATATATATATATATATATATATATATATATATAATTTGTGTGTGTGAGAGGTATGGTACTGGGGATGGAACCCATGCTAGTCACCTTTCAAGTACTCAATGCCAAATGTGCCTGGTGGCTGTCCTATCAGACAGTGCAACATTAGAACATTCCTGTGGTTCTGGAAAGTTCTACAAGATAGCACATCACTAGAGTGTAGAATAAGATGATGAAAGAAAGAAAGAGCATGCAGGCAGCCATCTCCCCCTACCTTTAATGAAAGGAAAGATTCAACAGTTTATTTGAAGGTTGTAAGAACCATGGGGGAAAATTAAGTAGGCGCTAAGGCTGGGAGGTGTCGAGGTTTCAGTGGGTGGTTGACTGACAGGTGAGGAAAGTGTCCTGAACACCTGGGAAGGGCATGTTGGGTGATGGGAATAGCATGTGTAAAGGGCCTGTGGCAGTAATCAGTGAGCTCAGGTAATTAAATGCCCCAGTACAGAGAGAGAGAGAGAGAGAGACAACCCAATGACCTCAAGCCACCGAGCCCAGTGAAAATTGCCTTGTTGGACCCCCCTTGTCTCGTCAACCCAGATACCACAACGTGGGCATCCTTGTGCTCTTTCTGCACGACTTCAGCGATGTGCAGCTGGAGTTCACCAAGCTCAACATTTACTTCAAGGCCCGAGGCGGCTCCTACCATCGGCTACACGCAGTGGTGGCAGACCTGGGCTGCCTCAGTTTCTGCTTCAGTTGGTGAGTGGGTGGGGTACAGGGTGGGGACTAGCAGGGCAGGGGTGGGCCTGGTGGGGTGGGCGGGGACTAGCAGGGCAGGGGTGGGGCTGTGCAGGAGGGGCCAGGCCAGGCTCCTGGAAGCTGCTAGGCAGGAGAGAGGAAGGGTTGAGGGGTGTGGGGCCTGGCGGGTGAGGGGGTGGGTGGGAAAGGGAGGGCAGGCAAGGAGGAGGAGCCGGGTTTTGAGGAAGGGGCGGGGACTAGTGCGGTGGGTGGGGTCTGGCAGGACAGGGGTGGTTCCCAGTGGGGGGAAGGGTGGGACTGAGGGGGGAAAGCGCAGGAATAGAGGTGAAATGGGAGTCCGCAGGGGTGGGGCGGGGAGCACTGGAGGGTGGGGTTATGTAGGGACAGGTGGATGGCACTGGACAGGGCCTGGGTGGGTCCACTGTCCCCTGTTCCCCAGCAGCTTTCCTGACCCACTCTCTGCTCGCAGGTTCTGGTTCCGCCTCTACTGGTTCCCGCTTAAAGTCCTGTATGCCACGTTCCACTCCAGCCTGCTCGCGGTGCCCGACATCCCCTTCTATTTCTTCTTCAATGCGCTCCTGCTGTTGCTCACCGTCATGAACCTCTACTGGTTCCTGGTGAGTCGGCTCACCCACTCTGCCGGCTGTCCCATTCTTGTCCCTATCGCCAGGTGGCAGTCCAGTGGCAGGTCCTTCTCAGGCAGGCAGGGGGAGGGGCATGTTGGGCAACAGTAACAGCACATGCAAGGGGCCTGTGGCAGCAGCGCACCTTGGTCAGAGGGCTGCACAGCAGAGAAAGGGGTTTCCGTCTCACCAGTGCCTTCCCCTCCCCCAGTACATCGTGGCCTTCGCTGCCAAGGTGCTGACTGGCCAGATGCGCGAGTTGAAGGACCTGCGGGAGTACGACATGGCAGAATCCCAGAGCCCCAAGCCCAGCAAAGCTGAGTGAGTGTGGAGGGGCGGCCGCCCCGAGGTCGTTCCTTTAGTGGCACCGTCTAGGCGGGCTCTGTGGGCAGGCCTCGGAGTTGCGGCGGATGCCGCGATGCCACTGCAGCGATCCCACCGCTCCCCGAGCCTCCGTCCAAAACAGACTGCAGCAAAGGCCTGGATGACGTAGCTACAGACTTAACCGCTGTGATGGACGGAGCAGCAAGGAGGGGCAGAGAGAGGTTTGGGAGGGGCAGAGAGGAGAGGGGCAGGGTCTCCGCAGTGGGAGCAGAGGGTCAGACCAGCATCTGGCCAGAGCGGGAAGCCAAGGCCCCGGGTCATGAGGAGCAGCTGTTGACCAGGCCAGACCCACCTCCAACTCACTCCTAACCAAAGCCCGGGGCAGCAGAGCGACCCCGCTTTGTCCCTGCCATGACTTCCTGGCCTCAGAGTCCGGCAGGCCAAGGCTGGGGCTGGGGACTTGGACCCAGTCCAGCCGGGGAGGGAGTCCTAGGGAAGAACTAGTGAACCCCTTGGATAGAGAGACCAGGAGCCTCACCAGCCCTCAGTGAAAGTCAGACGCATCTCAAGGCCCAGTGTAGGGCAGGGTCCGGGACTCACTCATGTGAAGGGTCACATGAGGGGCAGGAGGCATTCCAGGTGTGCAGCTCCCCTCTGCCATGTGAGGAGTGAGGAGAGTTTGAGCTGGAGCAAGGACAGGAGGCTGCGGAAGGTTCCAGAGGTGCTGACCAGCCAGGTCCTCTGCTTTGGTCGAGGGGTCATGGTTTCAGGGAAGCAGTGGGCTCAGACCTGAGGAGGTCGGTCTGAATGGGAGTTTTGTAAAAGAGTGAGCAATGAAGAGATTTAAGAATCTTCTCGAAGGACGTGACAAGGGTAACCAAGACCCGGGAGAGGGAGAGCAGTGTGTGGAGACAGCCCCAGCCACTCAAGTAAATGGGCATATTGTTGTACCCGCCAAGCACGGGGCCTGCCAACGGGATGTGCCAGGGCCAGGGAGTTAGCACCTGGAGGTGGAGAGGGCAGGAAGGTGCGTCGGAACAGGTCACTCACAGACAAGGCTGGGCCACCCCTGAAATTGAGGTTGGGGTGCTATGTGACCACGGGGAGGCTGTCACCATCATCCAGGCACACGGGCAGCGGGTTGTAGCCCCGAGGTGGAGTGTGGTCAGGTGGCAACTCTGAGAGAACCAATCAGATTTACTTTGGATGCAGGTGAAATAGAAATAAAAGAATCAAAGATGACGTAAGACTTTTGGCTCAAACTGCTGTCTACAAGAAGGGATTTGAGACAGCGTATGTGCACCTGCAGATGGGGGCTTTGAGGGTCTCGTCTGGGATATGTGGCATTCTGGCTATCCATTGAATGTACGTCAAGGGCTCAGTCAGGTGTAACTGAGGAATCTTCCAGAAGATTCCAAAGGCTTCCAGTAGCTTCCAGGGGAAGGGGCGACTAAAGAGAATAGGGTAGGGGGAACCTCCTTGGCCAAATCCCCAAACCAGAAAGGGTTTCTTGTAGACAGTGAACTCACGGTGGAGATGCCCTGTAAGTTAAGGCCTGAGTCAAGCAGAAGCCAGACCTCCTGGCCCCACCAGTGCCCACTCTTTTCCCCCGAGAATGTCAAGCCAGAATGTGGGGTGATGGCCAGCAGCCTGCAGCTTCACGGGAGAGCATCTCCATTAGAACAGCAAAACACGAGCTGTGTCCATGAACTGTGCCCAGCAGTAGAGTGCCAGGGAACACACTGTCGTGACAGACCCCATGGCACCTCCACAGAATCGGATTCTCCAACTAAGGCTAGAGTTAGCACAGCTGGGTATAAAACAGAATGGGATAAAAAGGGTAAAACCAAGGGTGGCTCGTAAAAGAGCTGGTTAGGGTGCCTCCACTGACAGCATTGGAGGCTGGTGGGTGTTGCTCAGGAGTAGAGCACTTGCCTGGCATGCACGAGGCCCTGGTTCTGTCCCCAGCAGACAATCAATCAATCAGCCAATCAATAAAGGCACCCTGTCGAGATCATGAGAAACTAGGATATGAGGAGATTAAGGACATGTGACAACTAAATGCAGTGTGAGTTACTGGGCCAGGAAAAGATATTATTGAAAATTTGGTGAAATTCAAATAATACATTGGGTTTGGTTAATAACAATGTAGCAATAATGATGGCTTCTTAGTTGTCTTAGTTGATACTCTGTATCACGGGAATTTAAGGTGGAACATTCTGGAAGCTGGAGAAAGGTATATGGGAGCTGTTTCTGCAACATTTCTGCAAATTTAAAATTACTCTAAAAAACTTATTTTAAAAAAGCTTGAGAGGTCATTAAAAGTGGCATTGGGTGTTATTACTTTCCTAGGGCTACTGTAACAAAATGTCACAAGTGATTGGCTTAAAATACTCAGCTGGGCTCCGTGGTACAGGCCTGTAATCCTAGGGACTCAGAAGGCACAAGAATGTGAATTTCAAGTTCAAGGCCAGCCTCAGCAACTTAGCAAGACCCTGTCTCAAAACAAAACAAAATAGAATTGGGAATGTGGTTCAATGGTTAAGATCCCTCCTGCCTCTTCCAGCTTCTGAGGGTTCCAGGTGTTCCTTGGCTTTTGGCTGTGTCCCTTCCTCTGTCTCCATATGGTCACCTCCTGTTTTTTCGATCTTGTCTTTTCTTTCTTTTTTTTTTTTTTTTTGGTGTGGAGGGGGTATGGGGAATTGAACTCAGGGGCATTCGACCACTGAGCCACATCCCCAGTCCTATTTTGTATTTTATTTAGAGACAGGGTCTCACTGAGTTGCCACCTGACCACACTCCACTTTTGCTGGAGCTGGCTTTGAACTGGCGATCCTCCTGCTTCAGACTCCAGAACCACTGGGATTCAGGCGTGTGCCACCGTGCCCAGCCGTCTCTTCTCTGTTATGTGGACAGTTGTCAGCCTAAATCTAGGATGATGTCATCCTGAAATTCTTCACTTAGTTGCATCTGCAAAGACCCTTTTTTCAAATAAGGGCATACATACAGATTATAGAGATTGGGATGTGGACATATCTGTGGGGGGCACCATTCAACTCACTGCCATCATTAAATCTCCATTAGATATAGCTGAAGAGACAATCAGTAAATTGAACACTGTGAAGAAGAATATCCAGAACACAGCATAAGTAGATGGAAAACAGGAAAGCCAGGATTATAAGAATCATAATCTAGGAGTTCTAATAAGAGACAGGGAGAGGAGAAACAATATGAGAAGATGTAATGCTGAGAACTTTCCAGAAGTGACAAGACATAAATCATAAGCAGAATAAATTTAAAAAGTATGTCCCCGACCCATCAAAGCGAGAATAGAAATCAGCCATGAGGAAAAAGAGACGGGACCTGAAAACCGTCTCAGACAACTGCAGCAGGCAAACTAGCAGATGAGGAGGAAGAGTCGCTTCAAGGGTGGACAGATGACAACCAACTCAGAATTGTGTACACAATTTAAAAGCAATGACTCAAGAGAGAGGACACCCACAGGAAAAAACAAAACAAAACCAAGAAAGTACTGCCAGTAGATCTAGTCCCAGCCACTTGGGAGTCTGAGGCAGGAGGATCCCTTGAGCCCACAAGTTCCAGACCCTATCTCAAAAACGAGAACCAAACAAACACATTTTAAAGCCCCAATTTGAGAAATTTTATTTTTACTTTTGGGTTAAGTGTTTCTGACCTTCCTCCCTCCCTCCCTCCCCCTCTTTCATTTTTGTTATTGTTGTTACTGAGGATTTAACCCGGGCGCCCCAACCACTGAGCCACACCCCCAGCCTGTTTTTATTTTTTGAGACAGGGTCTCACTAAGTTGCTGAGGCTGGCCTCAAACTTGTGATCTTCCTGCCTCAGCCTCCCAAGTCATTGGGATTACAGGAGTGTGCCACCTCACCTGGCACAACATGGAATAATAATAATTATCATTATTATTTTTGTTTTTTAGAGAAAGAATTTTTTTTAATACTTATTTTTTAGTTTTCGGCGGACACAACATCTTTGTGTGTGATGCTGAGGATCGAACCCGGGCCGCACGCATGCCAGGCGAGCGCGCTACCACTTGAGCCACATCCCCAGCCCAATAATAATAATAGTAATAATTATTATTATTTTGAAACTGGACATTTGACCCAGGGACACTTAACCACTTAACCACATCCCCAGCCCTTTTAATTTTCTTAGATTTTAGGACAGGGTCTCACTGAGTTGCTTAAGGCCTTGTTAATTTGCTGAGGGTGCTTTGAACTCTCGAGCCTGCTGTCTCAGCCTCCAGAACTGCTGGGATTACAAGCAATGGAATTCTTTTTATTCTTTTTTTTTTTAAACTTGTTTTTAAAGCTGTGAATAGACCTTTTTTAAAAAAATTTATTTTATATGTGTGCATGAGAATCAAACCCAGTGCCTCACACTCAAGCGCTCTACCACGAGCCACGACCCCAGTCCCACAAGTTGATGTAGAATATTCCAAATGATGTGGCCTTAGAGCACCAAGGCTATATGACAAGTGACAGTGCTCCAGAGAGGTGGCAGATGCACCATGCTCCTCATTCAAGCAGATCAGAACCAGAGTGACCGTATGTTCTTAAGGATATTGGTAGAAAGTGACCTGACTGAGGCCTAGGGGAACTGGGCTGCTGCCGACGCCAGGATTACAGACTGCATGAAGGAAGTCAACCAGGTTTGAAAACGGAGGCAGCAATGACTAGGAATCACTGTTCAGTAGATCATTCAAGTGTTACGACAAATCCTATGGCAATTAAGTAGTGCCGATCCCGTCCTCACTCCATATTGCTCGGCCCATGTCACTTCCTGGGTGGTCTGAGTTGCTGGTAGACTGCTCTCCTTCACTGACAACCACCCGTCACCTGGGGTCACCATGCCTTCATGGTGCACCTTGCTCTGAGGCCCTCATCTCCCTCTTGAGGCTACTGGGATTGTCCCTCCATCAAGGGACCATTAGCTCATTCCAGCTCTGCTGACCTGGGAGA